ACAGTAATCACCGTTTTGATGGCTATGGAGATCAAAGAACTTTAACATTAGGATTCACTGCTAACATGAATATGTATAGTGAGGATATAAAAGCCCTTTGTCAGTGGAACACTAAAAATTGGAAGGTTAAAAGGATGGGAAAAATTCCAGAAAAATGAACAGTGAGCCCCACACCACCACTACTACTGAGTATGGTGTGGGATTATGTAGTTCAGAATTCCCCAATATGGTACCTTTAGGCTATTATTTCCATTCAGCACAACTGTTATAGGCTGGGGGAATTTCATTCACGCACGCACCTTTTGGGAACTGTCACACTAGCAAAAGACTAGTGAGTAAAGCTGATTATTGGTGTAGGAATGCCTTATACCACAACATGAACATTGTCTGCAACAGTCCTTTTATATCTATGGACTGGACTCTGCATTTAAAACTTTGGCCATTGTATTCAGTGAAAGATGAATCACTAAAAGATAAAATACTCCATGATCCTAAGACCTGTAATAACAGATTTACCATAGATTCAAATATAGATTATCATTCACAATTGAGAGCATGATTCTTCACTTTTAAAGAATTAAATATATGGATTGTGAATGGATGCCCATGCTAATATAAATCCAGGACAGCAATTGTTGTTTATTTATTTATTACATAAATAAACTGCACTGCCCATCTCCCTCAGAGAGGGACTCGGAGTTGTACAATAAAATATTATAAAAGTTAAAATTTAGAAAGGCAAACTAAACACTATTAAAATTAATTGAAAGATTAAAGAAGGGCTTTCAGGGCATTAGCCATGAACTGCATGCTATCTGAACAACCCATGCAAGGCTTCAGAGCCATATTTTGACTCCTTTTGGGAACGCCAAGAGAGAGGAGAGCTGCCTCACCTGCAGGGGGGAGCATATTTCATAGGCTGGAGGCAACAGCAGAGAAGACTTTTTTCTTGGGCCCCATCAGTTGAAGTTCTTTAACTAATGGCATCTGCAACATAGGTCCTCTATCTGACATGGTGGGATGGACCATTGTAATGGGTCAAACAGTTCTGTAGGTAGTCTAGCTCCGTGCTATGTAAACAGAATCTGTACTGCAAGATGGCATTAAAGCATCATGGTCACCTCAAGCTTTCAGTTACTGTAGCACTACAAGTGGAAGAGGCAAAAATGAGACTCCGCAACAGCTTACTTACATATTTCAATCATAATAGTTAACTATTTTCATTAAAATATGCAGTCTTTGGCTTGGTGATTATGCCTTTTTTAATCTAAATATCCTTTTTATTTTCAAAGCATTTAAGAATGTGTGTTTGATTGAGGTGTCACAAAAGATGGGATTGATTAATCACTAAGGGTCCAATTTAAATGATGAGTCTATTTACGAGCCTATTTAGATTTGGTATGTGAGTGCAATGGAGAATTTAAGTACATAGCACAAAGTTGTCTGCTTTCTATCACTATTTATGTCTCAACAGACTACCGTATTTTCCAGTGTATAAGACAACTTTCTAAAGTATGCAAATCGTCTCCGAAGTCAGGGGTCGTCTTATACGCTGAGTCATCTTATACGCCGGAAAATACAGTAGTTTCCGGCACATAAGATGACTTTCTAAGAATGCAAATCCGAAGTTGGGAGTTATCTTATACGCCGAGTCGTCTTATTCGCCGGAAAATACGGTAACTAGAAAATTCATAAAAAGAGTATTAATCCCTTAGGAAATAAAGTTTCAGAATTTATAAGCTTAAGCTTAAACAAAGAGTAATGTTAATTTTTACATTTTTGCCATGACACTTCTGGAATTATGATAATAAACTAATTTTATTCCATCCTAAATTATAAAGGACATCTCTCAGAACAAATACTGGTTTACAGTATATTTCATCCATGATTAATGTTTCAGCAGAGTTATAAAATTCTATAATCTAATAGCCTTACATACTATTGTAAAATATCAGGTTGCTCATGGCACTCAATCACCTCAAGAGGGAAACTCACTTGAATAGATGAGCTGACAAGATAAACAATTCTCATCTAGTATTATTATTATGCTCTCTGTAACAGGAAAACAAAAGTGAGCTTAACCCTCACTGGACAAAATATAATGCAAGTTTAATTGTAAAACTTAAAAGTAGTACTTCATTTCTCACATTATAATCCTGCAGAGTCCAACTGGGATTGAAGCATCAGTATAAACTAAAACTGTTCTGACAGCAGTATGTTTTCATCAACTCTTAAAAAATCCTAGCCATCTGTTCACATTCTGCCATTTTAATTGAATTACCTTGCATCATTTGTTACTTTCTAACTTCTTTTATTTCTTCAACCCTCAAGATTTGGCCTACAATTCCTAGGAAAGAAGTTGCACAAGAAAACCCCGTATTAGGATAGCCCTATATTATATGCCTATTGATCAATAAGTCCATAAAATTCAGGTGACCTTAGTTCTACGTAGGTAACTGGCATCTCAAAATCCAAATTGAACTGTAATTGTGTTTCAAGTTGCAAGCAACATAGATCAGTACCTTGGACAGCTACCTCACCAACTATGTGGAGTTGAGATTCTCGATATTTGGGACTTTTGAAATGTTGAGAACACATGCAGAAGGATACTTGTTTCTTTACAGAATTGAGAGCACAGTTCTCATATCACGGAGCTTTTGTTTTATTTGCTAAGACTGATGGTTGGGATCATTTGAAGCCAGAAGCAAACATAAATATGGAGCTGGGGCCTTGCTTTCTAATAGTGTCTTAGCTTTCTGGAATATTGGACTTCTATACCAACTTTCTGTAGGGTTTCAGTAAGGAGTTTTCTGGGGGGGGGGAGTTTAACGACAAAGAATTATCCAGGACATATCCTGCAGAATCATAGACTTTGACACATATTACTTCAATGATTTGACTTCACTTGATTTTAAACTTGCACTTATAAATACAAGCTGGGCTATTTTAGTTCAGGAGTGGGCAACCTGCATTTCTTCAGCTTTGTTGGACTTCAGTTCCCGCCATTCCTCAAGACTGAGCAAATGGACTAAGACATCCCGATTTCAGCCAACTTAGATTGCTTTTCACCTCCACGCTTTAATTCTACACAGGTGAAAACAACGGACTCCTCCAAACTTTTTCCTGGAACTAATTTCCGTGTAATTCTGTAATAAAATAAAGATAAAGCTCAATTGCTAATATGCCTGTAGGCAGCAATATGGAAGATAACTCTCTTCTTTCATACTAGGACTTTTAAAAAATACGCATCGGCCTAATCTCAAAATTGTAATCCCATGGAATTCTTCGGGGTCTCAAGCAGGTTTTTTTGGGGTGGCGGGGGGAATAAAAGAATCAACAAGATGGGTTAGGCGTTATCATACTGCTGCAGCTAATTTTTAAGAAGAATGCTTAAAAGCTTAGCCTTCCAACCTGATTCTTTGCAAGCTTATTTAGAATCACCGCTGGAATCTTTTCCCAGTTTGTCGGACTGTGTCGTGTGTGTATCCCATATCCGAGTCTTCTCGACGCCAGCTCTCTCTTTAAGTACCCCCCACCTTTCTTCCCTATGCCCCTCCCTCCCTCTCTCGCTCTCGCTCTCGCTGTCTTGCTCGCTCTCCCCCATCGCTCTTGCCTTCTGCGAGTCGGCCTCGTTTCTCTCCTCCAATTGTGTTTTTGAATTGCCTCCGCGGTAGGATTCCTTGAACCAGCCACCATGGCTGACATGAAAACGGGCGTCTTTGCGAAAAATGTCCAAAAGAGACTGAACAGGGCGCAGGAAAAGGTAAGCGAAGACGCAGCAACTGTTAGAGGAAAAAACGAAGTCTGTGCGCTTTGGGATTTCCAAGTCTACGGCGTTGGAGAGGAAGCGTAGCAGTGCGGGGGGGTGGAAGCTTGCAGCAGATCCTTCAGTAAATGCGGGGGACGGAGATTAGCACCCCGCAGATCCATCTGAGAAAAGCTGCACAACCAAGCCAAGCCAGAAGACATGCAGCGCTGCAATGGCGTTGCAAGTGCAAACGCTGAGCTTTTCCGTCGCGATTTCGGGCAAGGCAGCGGCGTCGGGTGCCGGCGTGGATCAACGTCAGGCTTTCCATAGCTAAGCTGCCGCCCTCGCCCAATTCGCTTGCACAGAGGGCATTACCTGTATTGATCGGAGCTCTTATGAGATAGGGTGGAAAGCCGGTAGGGCGAGCGAGGACCAAGTGTCTGAATTAATCAGAAGGGCGCGAGTATTTTAAGTACTGTATCGAATCCCTCCCCGCCGAAAACTAAAAGGAAATATTCAAGGCCATCTGACCTTTCTTGCCCCATTTGCCTCAGTGTCTTTCAGGGCAATTAAAGGCAGCGTTGCTTGTCCTTCCGAAAAGAGGGAGAGAGAAAGAGAGAGGGATCGCCGTGCACCATCAAAACGGCGGTCCCTGCTCGAGTTCAGAATAGCGCCCTTTGGGAAAATGGTTGAATTCGGGATCGGTGGGCTGGGGAGCTGCAGCACCGGCATGAATTTGATTCCTTGCTCCATTTGTGTGTTTGAAGTGCACCCTGTATTCGTGATAGGAGCATAAATAAATCTTGCTAAAGAGATGGTGGAACGCGGAAAAATGCCTCCCTCCCCAAGGAACTTTTGGTTATAATCGCCGTGATGTCCCCCCCCTTCTGTTGGCAAGCTGCCCTCATCAGTGGTGTTATATAATATTCCTTGGCCCATAACTGCCATCTTCATGAAGTCTTTTAATTAGAGGAAGGATGCAGGGCAGAGTTATATTCAGACTGCTTTATACCTGTTCTTCTGTCATTAATCCAGGAATTATGGATTATTTCCTACCCCGGAAAATCAAACAGTTGCAGGTGCTATGCTGTTTTGCCTGGGCCAAGGAGTGGGCCTTGCTTTAATATCTGGGTTTTGCATTTGGGATTAGCTTGTTCAGAGTCAAAAACTGTTTGCCAAGAGATAGTTGTTCCAGATTTTTGCAGCCTCTTGGCTAATGAAAAAAACCTATATAATCTGTGAGCTGTTTGTTTGCTCCATACAAAACACTGGAGTTCTGATCCTTTTCATTGAATAATAATGCCCCTAGAGATATATGATTTCACTACTTTCTGGACTTGGTCTTGCTAAAACCATCTATTTTTTTATTTGGTAAAGACATTGGGCCCCTCAGTCTTATTTCCCCTTTCCTTTTCTAGTACTCTGGTGCTTTGTTAATACTGGAGTTGCTATCAAAGGATCATAAGCCTCTTGGTAACCTGCAGCTTGGAAGAAGGATTGGGACTATAGTTCTCTCTGCATAAATAAAGATTTGGTTCTCCCTAAGCCCCACCTTTGTGTGCCCACATTTCACCAGACTATAAGAGGATTGTGTTTCTTTTAATAACTGCCCAAGCTTGAAGTTATTTGATCTCCTGGCTGCATTCATCTGAAGACTAAAGCAGCATTGATCAGAGTGGCCTTCTCCAAATGGCTTCTGTCACTAATCCACAATGACCACTGAACACCCCCTATGCCAGTGTTTTATCAGAAACTCTTGCCAGGTTTTTATTCAAGATTCAGAGTTCTGGTGGTTTAAAATATGTTAAAAGGAAACAAAATCCACATTTCTCAGGTGTCTGATGATTTGCAGCTGAATCTAGAGGTAAGTACTAATTCTTAGGAAGAAAGGACCAATAGTGACAAATGAGAGGTGATACAAATGGGGTGGAAGGTTCAGGTAGCAACATGAGATGGAAGAATATGTGGGATTTGGGCTTAAATTCAGGGAAATCATCTTTTCATGTCTTGCCATATTTAAAAGCAGTGCTTTTTCCTCTTAGTAAGACAGGATAGTTTCCTGCAGGTCTAAATTAAATTGCTCAGGTATATGGTATCTGAATAATTCTGCAGAGTTATTGGAAACATTTTGAAATCTGTCAAATACATTATCTTTTAAAAATGGTGCTTGTTTAAAAGCTATCAAACCGCACAACATGAGAGTGTTAAAATCCTCTCCTTGCCTCATAGTTGTCACCAAGGCAGTTACGATTAATCTTCAAATAGGTTGTTTGAATTCTCATGTGTGGGCTCCACAAAGTAATCCTTTTTAACTTCAAACTCTTCAATATATTAAATACATAGTTAATGCTCTTTCATATTGGATCTGAAATTTGATTTAGGTACAGATGCTCCATAAACAAGGAAAATAAAGCCACATATATTCTAGATTGGCCATTGAACTTTGGTTACTTTAATCATATTGACCCCCACATTCAATTATAGACATCTTTAGAGAAGGCTGGAGGGCTGCTACCAGTAAATAAATACATAAACAAATATAAATATTTCTGTATTCGTTTCAAATGATGGTTGGTTGTATCCAAGACCTATGGAAATCAATGGAAATTTAATGTGACATTGTTTTCACTGATCTATTAATAGCAAACTTTAGTCAGAATGCAACTTATTTGCTGGTTTTATAGACCAGGCTAAGCTAATCATAATTTGTTGACTGAATTGTAACAACCAAGTACTCACATAATGCTAATTGTGATATTCTAATTACAAACTACATTATGGCTATATGTACAGGTGGGTAAGTATAGGTGCATATGTTGTCATGAGAAGGATATCCAAAAATTAAGTCATTGAGATTAGAATGGATGGAGCTTGTTTTGGATCTGTTTTGTAACTCTTTTTTTTTAGTTGAATAGTTGAATTTCCAACTTGTTTATTCATTTTCTGTTTGATTATTTTTTTGTTCTAATTTGCTATATTATGAAAAGAGTCATTTGGGAGTCTGGCTGTGCCTAAATTGGAAAAAAAAGAGAGAGAAGTGGTTTAATTAATAATTAAATGAGTTAGACAGGTTTATTTTGGGAAAGAGGAATCAAGAAATTATTACAATCTTCAAAGATCTGTAAAACTATTATGTAGAAAATGGAATAGAATTGTTCTCCGTTTCACCAAAAAAAAAAAAAAAAAAAACCCAGATGATCATTGATTGAAACCAGATTTTGGTTAAATGTTTAGCAACATTGTTTGAGATAGAAACAGACCTGCCTGACAAGATGATGAGCTCTTCTTGAGATGTTTAAGCATTCAGCTTAATGAGATGCTGAAGCTGCACCCTGTACCCAGATCCCGCATTGGCTGGGCATTAAGCCAGATAAACATCACAATCCATTCCAAACAATGATGCATTTATATTTATACCGTATAGTTAATGTTTCTAAGGTGGTTTACAGCATAAAAAGCAATCAAATCCACACAATGTATTAACATCCCCCCCCTTATTTTAAAAAAACAAAACCTAGACCAGTAAACTCTTTGAAGAGAGGAGAAAGTCAGAATACTAGAAAACGAGACCAAATGCAGACAGATTCCCCCTGTCTCTCCTTTAACTGGAAATTAATCTTTTACAAAAGCATGTGAAGAGATTGAAAAACATCATTTTTACTAGCATTTTTCTTTACAACATTAAAAGACCACCTACCCCTTTATACAATGAATCCAGTATTTCTGTGTTACAGACTTTCTTTTCACAAGCATCAAATGCCAAGTCTAGAAAACCCTGCCAACATGCCTTTCCATATAACTGTAAACAGACATAAGATCTCATTCTGCCTGTCCATAATGTTCATTCATGAGTGGCATAGCTTATATAGTCTGAATTGACAATATCCACATCATCAGCATCAGAGGTAGGGTGTGCAGACATAGAAACATTCTTAGAAAAAGAAAAATTTTCAAAAAGAAAAATGTGGTCATGATGTGCTGATGACAGGCCTACCTTCCAAAACAACTGGTTGGGAAGTGGAATTGAATAGAATATCCTTGAGCAGGGTGGGATTGCTTCACCTGACAGCAGTAAGAGCATTCCCATGCTGCAACCTTGAATGGTGAGCTAATTTTATAATATGTATTATAGTTTATGATCATTATTTCCAGTTGTTTTATCTGGCAGGAAACAATGATCTATCTATCTATCTATCTATCTATCTATCTATCTATCTATCTATCTATCTATCTACCTACCTATCTATCTATCTATATACATATACATATACATATACACATACTCCCTTATCCTGGGTTTGTGTGTCTGTGCCTTTGAGGCAGGATGGACTACTGACAACTGTGTGGAATAGTACCTGCTGTTTCCATGATCAGATGGATTTCATCCTAGGGTTCTGAAGGAGCTGGCAAATGTGATCCAGAACCACTGACCCATATTTTTTAAAGAAAAGAAAAGAACTGATGTGGTTCCCATCTTCAAAAAGGGTAAAAATGAGTCCAGAAAATTATAGAACAATCAGTTTGACATCAATACCTGCGAAGATCCTGAAAAAAATAAGTCACAAATCTGTGAACACCTAGAAACAAGCTAAACTAAGCCAACATGCTTTTTGTTAAAAGCAGATCATACCAGACAAACATTGTTTCATTCTTTAACAAAGTGATACTTCGTTAAAGTGAAATACTATGGAAATACTATGGACATAGTTTACTTAGATGTCAGTAAGTCATTTAATAAAGTACACCACAATCTACTTCTTGGTAAGATATAAAAATGTTGGGTAAACAGTAACACCACTAGATGCTGACCAACCATACTCATCTAGTTCTCAATGGAACTACATTATGCAATGGGTACTTCAAGGTTCTGTCTTAGGCCCAGTACTTTTCAATATCTCCATAAATTATTTAGATGAGGGGATAGAAGGGGAGCTCATCAGATTTATAGACAACACCAAGCTGTGGGGAAATAGCCAACAATTTAGAAGATAGACTCAAGATACAGTAATATTTCAAAAGACTTGAACTTTTGAACTATCCAACAAATGCAATTCAGTGGTGAGAAAAGTAAGGACTTACACTTAAACAGGAAAAATCAAATTCACAGGTATAGAATAGGTAGTACCTTCCTCAATAGTAACTGACAGTATTCTTCAAAGCAGCTGAGGGCAGGACAAGAAATAACAGAAGGTTATCAAAGAAAGATTCAACCTAGAATTAAAGACAAATTTCCTGACAGTGAGAACAATTAACCAGTGGAATGGCTGGCCTCCAAAGTTGTTGGTGCTTCATCATTGGACATTTTTAAGAAAAAGATTGGAGAGCTACTTGTCAAAAATAGTATAGGATGTCCTTCTGGAGCAGGGGGATGGATTAGAAGACTCCAAAGTCCCTTCCCAACTGTGTTATTCTGTATTCTATTCTTTAGGGCAAGTAAAAGGAGCCAATGCACAGGTTTGCCTGCTAATGTAGAAGAGGAGGAACTGCATCTAAAGTAGTCATTGCTCAACTCCCCTAAAGATTTTGCTCAGTTCTGGGAAGCTTTAAAGTATGTTTGGTTGAATTTATTATATTTTGGCAATATGAGCATTCCTAAATGGATGTGAGTGAAGCAGAATATACTTTATGAAGAGATTGGCCCAAAATATAAAATAAACTTTGTGAAGAAATTTTATGGAAAAAAAGGTATAAAATGGTTTCATTCTCATGCTTAGTAAGACTGATTTGCATGCTATATCCATCTATTACATTTAGATTAGTCCCACCTGTATTAGTTCTGTGTTAACCTTGATTATTTAAGGAACTACTGCAACAAATGCTTAATTTCTCAAAAAAATTGCATTTATATATATATTCATCTGTTGCCTACTAATGTAATATTGGATATTAAACTTTATGTAAATGCAGCATAGTTCTAATATACCAGCTTAAAAATAAGCTCCTTTATTTATCTGTTGCATTTCCATAAAGTTATATCCAAAGTTCTGCACACAGCAATCATGATACAGAACAACAATCCATACCAAATATCAAAGGAGGAATCCAAACTAAATTGAACGCACTTATATCTAGTTCAAATCTGTAGAATATAAATTTAGTTATTACTGAATTATTTCATGGATTTTATGTATTAAACACATAAATACCAAAAACTGATAGATACCTTTCCTTTCCCATCTTGCAGTTTTATTATTTTAGAAAGATTTCTATCACTGCTGTCCATCATATATGTTGTTCTTCAATACTCGGATCCCAGTTAGCAGGGTTTTCTCTAAATCCAAACTGCAGCAAAAGGAGTTGTCAGCATACTGGGAATCTAGTTTGAACCTATCAAGATTTTATTTATTCATGGGCTATGATAAAGTAATATCAAAGTACCTAAGTGTGCTGGACCAGTATATATGTAACCATCTGGCCAGAGCATATATAAGTAGCATTGAAGGGGTTAAATGCTGTCTCTTTAAGAGACGGCTTCTGGGAAATGTAGTTTAGTTGTTACATGGTTATATCTGTGTTCTAATTGGTCAGTTCTATGTCTTAACTAGCCATTGGGAGGGACTTCAATGTTTTATGACAGGATTTCCTGACTATGTGCCAGCATGTAAAGTTTTGTGTAGTACACCATGGGACCCTTTGCTCCAATGAACATGGGATGAATCTACCTTTAATTTTTTACACCATAAGAATGGAAAGATTATGATACGTGCCTCAGAAGAACTCTTCTTAGCTGTAAGTTATTGTTTAGAGATTCCTGAAGAATAAATAATCTGAATATTAATCCGTCTTTGGAGTTAATCTGTCTGTGACAAACAGGAATAAAGCAGATCTCTTTTTAACTCTAGCTGTTTGCGAGTCTTTGGGGGC